CTCCAGCAGCAGCACCAGTCCTTGTGTTTGAAGCGCAGGCTCAGAGACATCCAACACTCCTCCAGAGAAGCGTTGGTTGCCAGATGCCTGCTATAGGTTAATGCTTTCACTGGAGGAACGATCGCAGGAGCCGTTTGATAGTTGACCCCGCGACTCTCCCTTTTGAGCATACGGAGATAGAAGGTCAGACAGAAATGATTGACAGTGAGAAGCTAATGCAAACGAATCAGAGAATACGGCCTGCTACACGTGCACGACTTACAGTAAAGGTGGCGGAGGCTGAATGTGGAAGAATGCAGCAATACACAAGTTATATAGATGTTTCCATTTGGGATGGGTGAGAAATCAAATAGCCAGGGCATGTTTTGTGGTTGCAAAGACTACAATTATTTAAGCAAAAAATCAATAAAGTTAGAAATTATCTTTTGTCTTGTTGAGTTCTCAAAATGTATTGGGTAGCACAGGTCTAACTCTGAGAATGTTGTGAGATACTTAATTTCTTGACGCAAGAAAGTTTGAAAGTGACATTATAAACATAAAGGTTATATCAGAAATCGCATCGCAATGTTGGTCATAAATATCGCAATTAGATGTTGCTAAAATCAGACAACCCTAGTTTCCACGGCAACCTCTTGCTCCTGATTGTCTCCGCCGGCTGGAGCTGGCAGAGACCAGCGAGTGAGAGAGAAGAGTGAAGTGGAAAGAAGAGGTTTGGACTGGAGCTCTGCCAGAGGTTCTGACAGCACCGGTGTAATGAACAGGACGGATGGTCCATAGGAGGCCCGTGTCTCTGGGGGGATCACCTCCTAATGACGGGCCAGCGTGCAGCCATCGAGCCCTTATGAACTGACAAGGCAGAAGACACACACGCACATTCTACAGCTTTGTGGGCTGAGTGAGTGTCCCAGCGGACGCCTAACAGATACGCCACGCAGAGAAACCCTATTAGGCCGTAAACTGAACAGATAGCAGCCGTAGGCAACATGCAGTCACTAATGCATCTGTGGGAGAAGCTATTGGTTTGATGTGGGGAGCATTGGAACATTACTCATGATAGGACTATTGAGGAGACGAAAGAATAGGCAATATTTTACTGATGAGGGAGGCAGTGCAAGTGTAGTAGTAGAAGTACAATCAGTAGTAGTAGTCACAGTGGCAGGAGTACAAGTAGTGGCGGTAGTAGCAGCGGTAGGAGTTGCAGTAGTGGAGGTAGCAGCAGCGGTAGGAGTAGCAGTAGTGGAGGTAGCAGCAGCGGTAGGAGTAGCAGTAGTGGAGGTAGTAGCAGTGGTAGGAGTAGCAGTAGTGGAGGTAGTAGCAGTGGTAGGAGTAGCAGTAGTGGAGGTAGTAGCAGTGGTAGGAGTAGCAGTAGTGGAGGTAGTAGCAGCGGTAGGAGTAGCAGTGTTGTGATTCCTCCCTGCTGGGTTCCTCATCACCCTCACCTGCAGAGCTCCACCTGATCATCATTCCAGCACTCACCAGATGCAGCATAAAAACCATCCTGACCTTGTCTCCAGTGCCAGATCGTCCCGTCACACCAGCGGTGAATCAACCTTCGGCTTGTCCTGGTACTTTAGTGTTGAAGTTTATTTTTCTACTGATACGCTTTTTTCTTCATTTTTTCAGTACCCAGCTGTGGAGCCTGCACCATCATTCTCAGTCCCGTCCTGGTCCCGTCATTGGTCAGTCTCTTACCTCATCTCTGTCGTCCTGGTTCCGTCCTGTCCTCTGTCCTGGTCCCGTCCTGGTCCCGTCCTGGTCCCGTCTTGGTCCTGCCCTGGTCCTGCCCTGGTCCTGTCCTGTGTCCTTTAAACCAGGCTCCTCCTTATTTAGATTTTTGTGAATAAACCTTTTGTCTACTCTGCATTTTTGGGTCCGCCAGTTCTTACACCTAACAAGTAGTAGTAGTCGCAGTGGTGGTAGAAGTAGTGGAGGTAGTAGCAGAAGTAGTAGCAGTGGTAGTAGTCGTAGATGTAGTAGATTCAAGAAATGCAATTGATCGACAATTGTGCAAAACCAAAGTCAATACAAAATTGGATTTCTGGTTCAGGGCTCCCTGGGGACTCTCAGATTCAAAAGTGAATTTGCAAAGACACAAAGACAAGAGAAAAACCCATTCAATACCTCCAGAACAAGAGCCAGTGAGGCATAGCGACTAAAGCTCAAATTTAGCTTTTTGTTTACGCCACTTCTTTAAACCTCACCCATCTCTAATTCTGAATGTTTTAGAATTAGTTTTTCCAATATCAAGCATCTAACAGTAGTTTCTCTCAGTGATTTATTTAACGTCAAACTGCTAATTATCCTTTTTTCCCCAATCGTTCCGCATTTTCAGCTTTTGGCAATCATCGTAACTATAATTACATTTGCTTGCACAGGAATGGATACTTCTGCCTTATAGTAAATCATTGAGAAGCACAGACGGATTATGGGATAGAGAGTAATTCTGTTCATAATCAAAGACTAAATGTTTTGTGTTTGCTCTGTCAACTCCAACAGGCATGGATCATAATAACGTCTACGCCAATCTAATCTGCATCTATGAGCTCTTTCAGCAGCGTGCGTTCTCCTATTGAGAGGCGCTGACTGATGCTTTTTGATTAGACCGTATTACTACTGTTATTTCTTGGCTCTGTGTTGTTTTTTTTTTTGAGAAATGATTCATGTGACTTATTTGCGTGGGCTCATTGGTGCGGGACCAGTCACCTGCTTGTATAAATAGATGCAATAGCTGTCACCATCTGCAGAGCAATCAAAGCTTCATTTAATTACACTCAAACATGGGAGAAGCCATTCTGTTGCCAGAACATGTGCACGAGCGACGAGCGACGGCGGCACGCTGGGGAAAGTTACGTTTGTAAGCATTTTATTTACACTGTAAGATAATTTTAGGACAAGAATAAGTTTTTTGACTGATAAATAGCATGGTCTTATTATTAGTATTACTATTGTTAGCTTTTTAGAATGATATTTATTCATTTGTTTTGTTTATATATGGAAGTGAAATACAATTTGACATCCTTTACACAATCAGTCGTAATAAACTGTTCCGCATATTGTCAATTTAAATCCATCATGGCGCCTACAGGGTTAATCCTAATTTTGCCCCAACACAAATGTTCATTTCCTCCCCCACTCCCTTAAACAGATAAAATCACATTTCTGTACACTTTTATCTGCTAACTTTCACACTAAACACACTGAAAACTGTCAAATACACTTACTGGAATGTGACACTTGACAGCGGCGTGGACATGTGTACAGTGATGGTACATTTCTGGGCTGACACGTCTCCGCGGCGACACTGACACAGACCAAAGCCCCTATCTGAGGCGGGGGTTATCATGGACGCCCCCGACACCGTGTATTTCCCATGAACTGACGAGGCCCCGGGTAGATAGTCACATCGCACTGGACGAGAGGTGAGAATATTATCTGTGGGAGAAGCCTGGGACAAAAGGTGAATTTGTACGACCCGTCTGCGTGTGCGGAAGATGAGCCAAAACAATATGACCGTCTAATTCAGGGGTGTCACACTTATGTTGCTCAGGGGCTGAAACAATAGAAGAGATATCCTTTTCTAGGTATTCTAATGTGACTTTTATGTGATTTTTCTTCTGAAAACAAAATGTGTTGTATTAAAATTGTTAAGATTGAACCAAAACTGGATCAAATATAAAGTCAAACACATTTTATATTGAACTATTTAACTTCTAATGATGTGTTACTGGATTAAAATGTTAGAATATATTACATTTGGTTGTTGTCAAGAAAAAATAAATTATGTATAATCTTCCTTTCCATTAAGCTGATAATAAACATTTTAGGGGCCACTAAAAAATTGTCTTGCGGGCCGGATCTGGCCCCCGGACCTTGACTTTGACACCTGTGGTCTAATTGATGTGGCAACGCAAACAATACAATTTATAGATACATAATTCTTTCTTCTTATTTCATGAATTCATCGCAATCTTTTGAATGTTTAAACAATGGAAGTGGGAACACACTTTTTAGACTACAATGGAATAAATGCAAGATTGATGCGTTTCAACCAGTGTGGGCGGGTCCCGGCTCAAAAGTGGTCAAAATGAGGTGCGCTGACATGCTGCAATACCACCCCGGGCCTGTGGGGGTGGACCCGGAATAAGAATTAGCCAATGCTAACATATAGCATTAGATGACCTCTCGAAAACGTCTTTACAGGATGGTCCAAAAGTTGTCTCTTGGCCCAAAGCTCCGTTCCACATGTGTGTCAATGCTGAGGGGGGGTTCTGGACCAGTCTAGTTTAGTCGCTGTGAATCTTTTGAAGTCTCTTGTTTAAATGAATGGAGCTCGTGCAGCTGACGCATGCACAGATGTGTTTTTTCACATTTTCCAGCCCCCGCGGCCATTTTGAATCTGCCCATAGGCCGCGGAAGTTGTGGCACATTAGTTAGAACGGCGTCACTCTGTCCGTTAATAGTTTTTTAGTCTTGTTTTCAATGTAATCCTGTGGAACGTTACAGGACAAGCACTGACATGTCTCCTTCTAGCCATAGACATTATTTTGATTGAGCAAAAATAATGATCTATTTTGAGAGATAAAACAGGCAAACCTCAAAAGAAGTAGGATACACATCGTTGTGCCAAACACTGGGGAACAACAAACGAGACTATCTTCTTCACTTTCACACGTTTCTTTCTGCACACCCTGAGGGATCCTAATAAACGCCTGATGTGACATATTAGTGTCAGATCAAAAACGTTTATCTTATCTGAACGGATTATGGCATTCATTAAGTCACACCACTATCAAGAACACATGACACACAAGTACCGTTATAACTTCATTTTATGGACTTTATGATAAAAGCTCCATACACAAGTCTAACATAAGTTTAAGGAAAGACATGTCAGATGTTTGGCAAAGCAACAATCTCAGGCACTCTTGACAGTTAACACTTTAATCACCAGAGGTTTTTTAGTAATAATTTCTATGACTAAAGCTAAAATGTGATGAGAGATAGAGGCTTTCTGTAAATTAGAGACATTTTATGGATGGTCCAAAGTTTATGTAGAGATTAAATGTACCCATCTAATATGCATATCATGGCTGTGGCAATCATGGAGTTTAGAAATTTCATGAAATGTTTGTTATCAAAAAGAAAATGAAAGACATACAAATCACTAGGACATGAAACACACACACACACACACCTAAGTCTTCCATGGAGCCGAGAAGGTTAACCAAAAGTCCTTTAATGGGGAGTGACTGGCCTATATTTCTGGTTTACTCATTTACTGGTCCACAGACTCATCCCATTGACCGGGCTCACTTTCCCTCTTTCCCTCGGTGGCCTCCATAATCCATGGAAAAAAACCAGAAGAACAGCCTGAGGTGAATCGACGCATACTCCAAACATTGAGTGGGTCATTCCTGGAAGTGGGCTCTCATTTACCCTGCAGTGATCTGAGGATTAGGGGCCAAAGCCGGGCTGTGGCATTTACCGCAGCCACGACGCTCCTGCACGGTGAAAGAAACGGTCGTGGAATATCTCAAGCCACAGCGGCCTCGGGTTTGGCTGCCATGGATTTCAATCTTTCGGAGACATCCCGTGACTCATTCAAATACTTTTCCCCTTTACTCATATATTCTGATACAAGAGTAAAAGGATTCTTGAATGCTATATTTTAAGAGTTTTGAAATGGCGGCGTTGCGATAGCTGCTGGAACATAGCAACCAAAAGTGTTGGACATACAAAAAGGTTTATTCTTATTTACAATTAACTCAAAAACTTAACTTGCACTAGCAGGTGCAGCTGAAGGCTGTGGTGGAGGAGCTCCCTGGGCGCCTGGACACTCTTCTGGCAGAGTCCGGCTCTAACTTCAGTGTGGGCCAGCAGCAGCTCGTGTGTTTGGCTCGTGCTGTTCTGAGGAAGAACCGCATCCTGGTCATAGACGAAGCCACTGCTAACGTCGACCCCAGGTATCAATCTTTCATCGAACAAGCAGGGTCATCTGGACTCGCTCTGATACCCCCTTAAGCTGCTAATTTATCTGTCAAAAATAATTAGTTTTTCCTTCCACATTTAAAGTAGTTTCCAATTCCTCGAAGGCACAGGCCTGGTTAAGTTAGGAAAAATCATCAGGATTCACCTTGGAAAAAAATACCCAAACTAATTTTTTTGCTTTTGACCTGAGGTTAGGACTAAACTAGCTTTAGGGAATATATTATACTTGAACCATAGACTATACATATTGAACATGCTTTCTTTCAGGACAGACGAGTTGATCCAGAAAACAATCCGAAAAAAGTTTAGTGATTGTACCGTGGTGACCATCGCCCACCGCCTCAACACCATCATTGACAGTGACAGAATATTAGTGAGTAGTTCATACACTGAACATGAAGAGTGAACTCTTTAATTTGAGCATAACAATTCATACATAACGAGTCTAAATGTTTGTTGAAGGTGTTGGACAACGGTGTAATCCAGGAGTTGGACAGTCCCTCTGCTCTGCTGCAAAACCCAGAGGGACTCTTCTCCAAGATGGTGCAGCAGCTGGGTCCAGCGGAGGCATCAGCCCTGATCCAGGCAGCAACGCAGGTCTTTAACACTTTATTTCTCAATGGAATTCTGGATAAGGCTCTTTTTAACATGTTAGTGTTTCATTCCAAGCAGAATTAAATTGTGATTGAAGTGCTTCAGCTTGGAATGAAAACCTGGTTGGGAGGCAGCTTCTTGAGCCTAAAATCATTACTTTGGTGTGAAAAAGTGCTATTACTCATGATTGACTCAATAAGTTTCTATGAAGTGCATTTGTGGAGCTTTAAAATTAGTTTTAATATTAACATTTACCTCTGAACAGTTTCCAATATAAAAGCAAACAAGGCACATTTCCACAAAAGGCACTGGCCGGTTATTACAGTACGTGCAAAAAGCCTTTTCAACTTTAAAAATAGTGTCCTAAAAAACAGTCCTGGCGGCAGCGTGGACTACAGAGCGGTTTCACAGATGATGAGGCTCTTCTCACACTCGTTCTCTAGATGGCCGTTTGAAGTATTGGAACGACTCCTGTTGTTGTAGGCCTGGAATGTGAAAGAAAGTTGATCAGAAAATCTACATGAGATGTCAAAGACAGTATTAATAAGTTCATAAAAATACAAGTTACAACATGCATTAAAAACCTGAGCTTAAATCAGCTGAATACAGGCGTTGAAGGTAAGGACATTTGGCAGTCATTCTTTGATTTTGTTAGCAGTGCTTTGAGATTGTTGTAAAGCTTACGAAAAGTTGTGCCAAACATTTAAACCGTGCAGGATCAGGTAGAGCTCCTTTAAACATTTACAATACTGTAAAGCAGAAGAGATTTAAACTCACCTTTTTAGCTAATTCTAGCAGAGAAACTGCTTCTTGTTTCCCCGTCTGCTGAACCATTTTGTAGAAAATGCCCTGTTTGTCCTGCAACAGGGTGTATGGCTCGTCGTATGCACTGATTCTACCAGCGTCGAGAACCTGAAAGAAAAATAATCATGATACAAACATCTGTGTTTCAGAGCTGACCAGAAGAGATGTCAATGCTGCATGAGCCAGATGTGCTTTAATAAAGAAAATCCAATACCTCTTAAATGTGACTTATCTGCCCCAACAGGTAGATTATGACTGCATTACTTTATATTGTGACCATGGGTAAAGTCTTTTATAGTGTTTTGTTCCTTTTAGTGTAAATAGGATTTAAAGTTGTGTATTGATATTTCTATAATATTAGTAACATGTGCCAGTTTAGTTGGACTCACCAGGATGCGGTCGCTGTCGATGATGGTGTTGAGGCGGTGAGCGATGGTGATGACCGTACAATCTTTAAACTTGTCTCTGATCGTCTGCTGGATCAGTTCATCCGTCCTACAAAAGATGCACAGCTGTAAAATCATGTGTAAATCTAACTGGACAAAATGTTCATAAATATATACTTTGAAGATGTATTAGTCATCATACTGTATGTATTGTGTGCTCAGACTTATACCACTGCAGGTAGCTACACAAGGAGAATGAAGTGTGGCCCACTTTAAACGCAAGTGAAAAATGCAACAATCTTACTTCAAGCGGCAATAAAATGTTTGTACCTCATTTCATTTCAAGAAAAATAAACTCCTTTCAAAAAAATGTATTGACCTTTCGGGACATAATTGTTACATACAGGACATGTTGGAAGCTTTGAATGGACAAATGGCAAGAGGGGGATATAGTTAACGCCCAGTTTCTTTGTATAAATATAGTTAGAACATTATACGAGTGCGGAGGAATCGTGTTCAAAGTAGTGCCCCCTTCACTGGACAAAATGGAAAAAAAGTGTGGGTGAACATCCGGCAGTAGAAACCGCGGAGTGAGCCATGTCAGATTCAACCGTTGCATTCTTATGAATAATACTGCTGCTCTGCGTAAAAAGGTTTTTTTTCTGTACCAGAAAGTGATTACAGCATTAATTTGTGGGGCCTTTAAGAATGGATTCTAACCCAGATACCTGGGGTCGACGTTAGCAGTGGCTTCGTCTATGACCAGGATGCGGTTCTTCCTCAGAACAGCACGAGCCAAACACACGAGCTGCCGCTGGCCCACACTGAAGTTAGAGCCGGACTCTGCCAGAAGAGTGTCCAGGCGCCCAGGGAGCTCCTCCACCACCGCCTTCAGCTGCACCTGCACACAGTGAAACTCTTTATGTCTAGGTTTATAAAGAAGCAGACACCACTATGGCAAACTTTACAATTAAAGTTTGTACTTGCTGTTAACAATCATGTTACTTCATGCCTGATATTTCACTGGAGCAACACATGGTCCATATGTTCAGTGGCAACTTAAGATAAACTAAACACCAATGCCCAGCCTTACTCTGCCAACATGAACATTGGAACATTCTAACTTAGAGTTGGGCTGGGATTGACGGCTCACTTGTCAATCCCAGCCCGTACACAACAAATCAGACAGTTGTCATTGCTAATAGCAATAGTTTACGCCCCAGAAATGTGCATTCCATCCTTGTTTACACACTAAGATTATTGTAGCAGTAGTGAATTAGTTAATTTGTTTCAAACCTCTAGATGTCGCCAGAATACTCCAACTCACTATGGGGGAGTGTGTGAGACTTTGCTGCTTTTAAGTCACAGCCGCCAGAGCCGATGGAGAGGCCAGGCACAGACTAGAGATTTGTATCTATTTTGTACGAAAATGTCAAAGTTTATAGAGCTAAAGTTGATTTGGTGTTTAGTTGTCCTTTAACTCATTGACTACCAGCCATTTGTGATGACTTCACTGATTTTCAAGACTCACAGAATATTGTGTGCTATGACTATGAAAAATATGAAACCAGAGTCTGAAAGACTGGACTGTCTACTTTCAGCAGCAAAAAGAAGTTTGTTTTTATCTTGTTTCGTTCTCCTGTGATCTCCAGTCCAAAAGAAGGAAGTGTGACAAAAAGCACCAGTCTTAGAAAAAAAGCTGAGAAAATGAGGTCTTTGTGGAAAAAAAACCGAACCTGCAGAAAAGTGACTGTTCCAGAAACTATCGCCAGTGTTCATCCATTAGGTGGCGCTACATTTATGTCAATAACAGTAAATCAGATAAGCAAAATTACAATGATAAACACTATAAATGACAATAAATCACAAGTGAACAGACAATATACTTATACTATAAATGCAATAGAATGCTGTTGTGTGTCTTTGTGTATTTGGGCGTGCACGTTTGTGTGTGTTTGTGTGGTTACATCTACAGAGTGTCGTTCTGTTTAGTCCGAGCGCTGTGACCACAACTGGACTCTCCTGGCTCCTGGTGTTGACTCAGTGATAGTTTTAGCAATAGTCCACTTTTCTGTGGCTTTTTTTGGGGTACACCGCTGGTCTGCTGCCCTGACCCTCCACATGGTCTGCTGCCCTGACCCTTCACATGGTCTGCTGCTCTGGAGACACATTTACTGCTCAAACTGCCTCCAAATGTAGTCTACCCCTGACTATATTACTCCATGCCTGCTTCACCTCTGTCTCTCCTGCTCAGCGTGCTCAGGCAGTGATCTTTGACCAAGACACCCACAGAGCTCTGCTGCCACCTGCTGGCTTATTAAAATACTGTCTACAGCCAAACCCCAGACTGTATGATACAGGGGACACAGACTGACAGGAAAAGAGAAAAAAAAGAATGTTGACGTCAATTGATGCTGGTTAATAGCATATGAGTTAACCTGGTATGTTATTATGCCAACAATGACAGACACATGTCAAACACATGTGTCTGCATGAACTGACTGTGTTCAGAAAAATCTAAAAGAAAATTGTTTTAGACTCGTGGTGATAGACCTGATTGGGCTAAGTGTCTAGAGATGGAATTGAACCTAGGTCCTTCTACGAAACAGCGTTAAACTTCCCACAAAAAATTATGGTCAACTTTCCCAAAAGGTTGTGGCCCCCATTCAACTATGTGTATTTTTTAACTAGGACCCAGAACAAAATGTCTTTGTCACCGCTGCTGGCACTTGGTTGGCATGTGATCATATACATGTTGTGCCTCACCTCCTCCAGCGCCGTCCACAGCTGCTCGTCTGAGTGCTGGGTAAAGGGGTCCAGGTTCTTCCTCATGGTCCCAGTGAACAGCACTGGGTCCTACACACAAACACTTTAGTAAACTTTTACAAGATCTCTGCATCAATGCATCACTTTACTTCACTGTACTGCTGTCACCTTACATTGTGTGCACCATGTGCACTTGTATATTGTAAATAGTAACTGTAACTCTATTTTAGATTTATTCTTTATTTTTTATTATCTCTTTCTGACTGAGCCAAAGCAATTTCCAAGTCTGTGACTTTCTGTTACTTACGTGGCAATAAAAATTATTCTGATTCTGATTCTGAAATTACAAATAAGACTGTCAAAGCTCCTGTCAAAGCGATGCAGTCTCTGAACTATGGATCTATAATAATAACATGGATCCACGTCTCTGAAGCCGCAGTGAACGCCACACGCTGCGGCCGCTTCGGGAGCGAAAGTCACCACACACGGCACCAACACACGCTTTAAAAAAATCCCCTCTGAATGACTCGCACACGCTTCAAAGCTTCCTCACGTTCTGCACACTTCCCCATTAAGATGGGTGGGTCTACTTACTGTCTGTGGTGTCAACATAACTTAGAGTGCATTTCAAATTAAAGCCGCAAGCGGCGTCGAACGGCCCTCGCCGCACCGCGCGACTCCCCGCACCGCGCGCACCACGCCGCCCTGCACCACGCCGCCCCGCACCAAGCCGCAACGCGCCGCTCCACAACGCCCCGCACTACGCCGCACCACACCGTACCACGCAGCACCGCTAAAAGGAGGTGGCACCGCCGTGTGATGATTTGTTCCCGTAGCCATAGAAGAATGTTAGTCAAATCGTAATGAATATGATAACTAGAGCTGGTTTGGCTCCCCATGTAAACTTTGACACAGTCTTTAGGGGCGCTAATGGGCCAATTTAAAATATTTCACTTTCACCTGACCTAAACCCTGGAGTTGAACAATGTATTAAAGTTTTGTGCAAATCAGACTTTGTTTGTGCAAACGGGGCAAATTTAATGTTGTCAAAAACGGCAAAAAAAAGGTCACATTTTTCCGCTCCGCTGCTCAAACAATGTTTCACTGATCAAAAATCCCTGAGGTCATTTTGAAGGTACATGTGTTGAGATGATGTGGAGCGATTTTGAGGCGAATCGGTGAAACGGTCGAGGAGGAGTCGCTTTCCAAGAGACATGTATGAAAACTTTTGCTGTTCATTTTTCCATTTTGCAGTGAAATTTATGATCTTCCTGTTTGTCAGAGGGATTAGCCATAATAACATTTTTTCCATGTCTTGACTTGAGGAACATGTGTACCAAATTACATGGTTCTACGGCAATTTTGACCTTGAACCCCTCCCATAGGCATTTTTAAATTGGCTGTTGTAGGTGGCGCTATAGAGCCAATTTCAAAATTTGAACTTTCAATTGACCTAGACCCAAGAGTTGAACCATGGATTCAAGTTTTGTGCCAATCACACTTTGTTTGTGCAAACGGAAACAATTTTTCTATTGTCAAAAACTGAAAAAAAATACGCCACTTTTGGCGCTCTGCTGCTCAAACAACGTTTGACTGATCAAAATTCCCTGAAGTCATTTTGATGGTACATGTGTTGAGATGATGTGGAGCGATTTTGAGGCGAATCGGTGAAACGGCCGAGGCTGGTTTGATGTTTGTGTGAGGTGTACATTTGCAATGAATGGGGAGCGTTTGTCGTCGCCACGGCAACAGGGTAAAAAATAAGCCTTGGACCCAATTGACTTTTTGAATCAAAACGGCAAAACAGATGTATGTGCAAAATTTCAAACATTTTGAAAAAACTAAATTTGAAAATGCCCATTTAAAACTTTGAAATAGTCTGTAGGGGGCGCTAATGTGTCAATTTGAATCATTTAACTTTCAAATTACCTAGACCCTAGAGTTGAACAATGTATTAAAGTTTTGTGAAAATCAGACTTTGTTTGTGCAAACGGGAGCAAATTTAATGTTGTCAAAAACGGCCAAAAAAAGGTCACATTTTGCCGCTCCGCTGCTCGCACAATGTTTCACTGATCAAAAATCCCTGAGGTCATTTTGAAGGTACATGTGTTGAGATGATGTGGAGCGATTTTGAGGTGAATCGGTGAAACGGCTGAGGAGGAGTCGCTTTCCAACCGACATGTATGAAAACTTTTGCTGTTCATTTTTCCATTTTGCAGTGAAATTTATGGGCTTCCTGTTTGTCAGAGGGCGGAGCCATAATAATATTTTTTTCTTGTCTCGACTTGAGGAATATGTGTACCAAATTTCATGGCTTTACAACAAACTTGATCTCCAAAACTCCCATAGGGGTATTATTTTGGCTGTTGTAGGTGGCGCTGTTCTGTCATAAAAATCCCATAAAAATAAACACCAAAATATCAAATTTTTCGCCAGGTCTGATTTTTGGGCCAAAATCAACAACTTTTCATGCATGTTCAGGGGGTCAAATTAAGGCTCAAAGTGCAGAAGAAAGAAAAGAAAGAAAGAAAGAAAGAAAGAAAGAAAGAAAGAAAGAAAGAAAGAAAGAAAGAAAGAAAGAAAGAAAGAAAGAAAGAAAGAAAGAAAGAAAGAAAGAAAGAAAGAAAGAAAGAAAGAAAGAAAGAAAGAAAGAAAGAAAGAAAGAAAGAAAGAAAGAAAGAAAGAAAGAAAGAAAGAAAGAAAGAAAGAAAGAGAAAAAGAAAGAAGGAATTTTTTTTTTAACGTCTCGAGCAAAAACAATATAGGTTTCAATGGCATGTGATACATCATTTTAAAGCGTTTGAGTTTACGCACGCAACTGTCACGTTTTGGTGAGTGACGGGCGCTGACGCGTCCGTCACGCACCGCCACCATTTGTTTTCACCATTGTGAAAGCAATAGGCCCTTACCCCGTTCGGGGCTCGGGCCTAACAAGCAAGACATAAAGAATTTAAAAGAGGAGAGAAAGAGCAAGAGAAAGTCCAAGGAAGAGCAGATCATCTACAGGAGCATGACTGGTTTGATTTCAACCAATGTTTGAGGACTCCTTTAAATGTTTGGTAGGTCCCACAGTTTCGAATGTGTTCCGGCAAAGTGTTCCATAATGTCTGATGGACGCCACCATTTAGTCCTGCGCCTTTGTATGTTACATTCTCCTCTGGTTAGTGCTCTGGTTCTGACTCCACGGTTGTTGTTTTTTTACTAGGGCTGTCAAAATTATCGCGTTAATTCACGTTAATTACCGTTTTCATTAACGCGTTAAAAAATAATTAACGCATGTCCGAATGACCCGCCCATTTATAATAATATCACTCAGAATGCCGCGGACACGTGCGTGTGTGATGGTGACAGCGGTAGCGTGGTCATATAATACACACATATATACACGCACAGGGGCCATTCTCTGATGTTGTGTGACACACGGAGGAGAGGAGGAGACACGCTGAAATGCAACCAAACTCGCAAAATTAAAGCTGGGGTACTACATTTTCCCTTTCATTAACAGCTCTTGTTGGTTGTACCCAAAAGTAGAAGCTTGTGAGTCAAACAGATTTAAGTACATTTGGTCTGAATAACAATGTGTCATTACATTTGAAAATCTCATTTAACTTCAATTGGAGTGGATTTGAAATAGAATGTTAAAAATGCGATTAATTGTGGGTTAACTCACCATTACTATGCGAAAAATTAATCGTTTGACACCCCTATTTTTTTTACATATAAAGTCCATTAAGGGAGAAGGAGCAAGTCCATTTAATACTTTAAAAATAAGGCAAGCATCCAGAAACTTCTGATAACTCTCAAAATCTAAAATGTTATACTTACTTACAATGTTACAATAATGATAAAGCAAGGGCTTCCTATCTAATGTTTTAAGTGTTTTCTTAAACAGAGACTTGAGTGGCTTCAAAGTGCTCTCGGACGTCTGGGACCAAGTCGTGTGGCAATCATAGTGTGCATGTAAGCCTTTGCTTACATACATGCAGGCCTTATAAGTTTGAAGTTTGCCAAGTTAAATGTAATAATATTCTATATTATTTTGACGTGGTCTTTGAAAGTTAAGTTTGAAACAAAGATAGAAAAGACTAGACCTTGTAATCTGAAAGTCTTGCAAGGATGTCCTGTCCACACATGTAAACAGTTCCCATCTTAAGCCAAAAAACACATGATTTAGTTATGTGTTAAGTTGAATGAATTTGGATCAGATGCACGTTGCAATTCTCACGGCACAAGAAAAGGAATGTTTTGAGTGAAGAAATAAAGCCTCGCCTTTACTTACTGACAGGAGAAGTGCATTCATCCATGTCCCTCTCTCCATTACAAACATTCGTCCATTCTACCAGATTGACAAAGCATCACGCGACGCATAAAGCTTGCATACCTTTTTTTCTGTTTTTCCATCCTTCCTCGCATGCAGCCATAATAGTCGCCTTACCGTTGTGGTTTGCCGAACTTAAATCTGTTAAGCTGCCGGTGTCATGCTTTTCTCAGCTCCGATCCCCTTCTGTTTACTCTAATTGCACTCTTTAAATAGTGTCTAATTTTGGCACCTGCTGTTAAAGTGCACTCAACGTCTGCGTACACGTCCATAAAACCCAAAACAATAACACATCGCTGCCGTTTTACACTGTCGTATCCTTACCTCACAATGCATAGATGCTAAAACGTTAGTGGATTTACAGCTGCACAGTGGAAAGGGGCCACGCTTCGCCCTTTCCTCCTGCTGCGATTGGGTGTCGACCAGAAGCAGCGGTGACTTTGAAACAATAGCCGTGTCTTTTGAAAGCAGATAGGACATTCCGACCGCACTAAATTTAACACTGCAACAGTGATTAATCATTGTATGCAAATTTCCTTGATGGTTCTCCTCACAAAATAGATAGTTTTGTGACATCACTTGGAAAGAAGTAGTAGGACACTTTGTAAATCGCGCCGACATTGATGGTTTAAACAGAGATTTTCCGTAAATGAAGATGGATAGTCGAGACGTCATGTCACATCTGTAAAGAACCAGATTTAATCCTTTTTCAGTATATTCCACGTTTGTTCCCCGTTTGACTGAGACC